GGGGAGAGCCCCCCCCCCTTGAAAAAAAACCCCCCCAAAAAAAAAAAAAAAAGAGTAGAACCTACAGAGCATCGGCTTTAACGATTAGGTCTTGGAAGGAGACTGCCTGTCTGTCTTCTCAAATTGGTCCCCAGCAAATGAACTCCCAGCAACTCAGCAGCAACAAAGGACCCACAGGTCAGCAAGGCACCCCTGAGCTCTACGTCCACTCAGCACAGGGAAAGGGTTGCTGGCAGCAGGGAAAAGCTGTGCCCTCCTGGCTCAGGGCTCTGGGCAGTCTAATGAGCCTGCCCCACACCCACAGGATGCTTGACCAGGGGAAGGATGCCCAGAGGCAACAGAAGCTGCACAAGAAACAAAGGAGTGAGAAGAGGTGGGGTGTGGAGGGGCACGGGGGTGGGCCTGGGGAGATTGGCAGCTCAGCTCTGCTGGGTTGGGCTGCCCTGGGGTGTGGAGAAGGGCACAGGGTGGGCTCTGCAGGAGGCAGGAGCTGGCCAGGAAATGGAAAGGGGAAGGGCAGGGTGGGGAGGGGGCATGCATGCCTGGGAGGTGAGGCCCCAGACATGTGGGACCCATCCATCCCTGTCCTGTCCTTCCATTTCCCCTGGGACAACCCCCTAACCAGATCTGCATGTAGATGAGGAAAGGGACCTGGTCTCACATGCGCACAATGAACTCGTGGATGAAAGGACCCACAGATGCCTCTGTCACCTCTGTCAGTGTGATTCAGGCCATGTGGGTGGCACGGGGTACACACAGTGGATATCTTTGTGTCGATTTCTTGGTGAACAGAGTCTGGAAATGTAGCTCAGATATAGATCCTGACTACAGACAAAGCCGGGACAGTCTTCCACCAAGTAAACAGTGACAGCAGTACATGAGAACTCACGGAATGACATGGGGACTAGGAGACCATTGGCATGAAATGAAAGGGGGGAGGCTTGACCTGCCAGTGGAATTCCCGCCTGATTTAGGCACTGACAGTCAACACACGAATGTCTGACATGAAACAGGGCATCGATCTCATCTGAAAGTGTCTTCCAGGAACATTTTGCTCAATGACAGGAGGGAACATGGAGCAGATTCAAGTCCAGCCCAGAGAATCATTTCAAGTGTGACATCTGTTTAATGACATATTTATAGCCCAGCTAGTCTAGTCCCAGCCCTGAAGTTTGCCCATGCTCCAGACGAGCAAGCTGAGGTTCACAAAAATTCAAATAGGGCTCAGAACTGGGATTGTGCCAGAGACATTTGGGTTTGCTGGGAGTGCTGGGGGGCAGGACTACTGAGTCAAGAGGGGCTGTCAGTGTTCCCAACATTGGTGGGTCCCTGGTGGTTTCTTGGCCACACCAAGGGTACAGGGGACAGCTCTGGGCCCTTATTAATTTGATAGAGGTGGCAGGTGGCATCTTGCCTATTCCTAAACACCAACCCTCTCTCTGTCTCTGAAGGGAATCCATGGCAGGGTTCATAGGCTCCATAGGCTCCCTCATTCTGGCCAGGAGGAGGCAGCTTTCAGGAGGTTTTGACTGAGATGTCTCAGAAATCTGTCCTGGAGCCTGTTGATCGGCAGTTGGGGTCCCTCCCCATGGACACAGTGGCTGTCTCCTTCACAGTCACAGTGGTGACATCTGATGGGGCCTGCAGGGTCTCAATGACCATGACCTTGCCTCCACATCCTGTCTTTTCTTCAGCTGGGGAAATTTGGCAGGAAGACTCTGCCTTCTAAGTCTTCTGCTCCATTGATCTCGAGCCTCTCTGGGTCATTTTACTGTTTAATTTGAGGAGTTCTGTCCTCCTCTCCAGAGCGAGCAAGGCCGTAGACTGAGGACTCAGGACCCTCAAAGAGCTGGGAACCTCCCTCACCACCCAGTAGCATCAACTCAGGTGGGGCGAGTGGCAGATGAGCAGGATGACCTGGAGACAGAATGTCACCTTGGAGCTTTCCTTGTCACAGACAGAACTCACAGGTCAGGGAGGGGCCTGAGCCACTGATCAGGGGACACAGGTCCATGGCCATGCTGGGGTGACACCACACTGGGTTTTTTGCTGTGTGACCTTCCCCTTCTGCATGTCTTTGCTCCTGTTCCTGCTCCACTATGGGCTGTGCTCCCTTGCAAAGCCAGAGCTGAGGTTAGGCAACTGGGAAAGAAGAAGCCAGTCAGGGCAGAGGAGTGAACTAGGATATGAATGAATGAATGACCTTAGTCTTCTCAGTGGGGACACAACTTGTCCTGATAGGGCAGCTACTGACCCTATAACCTGGAGCCACCTCAAGCCTTGCACACCTAAACTGGGCTTCCTCCTTAGTCCTTGGGTTGTGGGTTCCTCCATGTGAGTTGATGGGGAATGGCAGAATTGCCTTGGGCAGGGAGTCATCTCTTTTCAACCCCAGGGCAACTGAGTGTCATGCTATAGGGTGGAGATGGTCGTTTTCTGTTTATGATATGGCTCTGAGGAGGAGAGAACCCTTAAAGATTCTCCTGTGAGCCCTGATCTAAGACGTTGGGGTGACAGGTCCGTGAAAGGTGGCTGAGATGGGACACCATTAGACATGGGCCCTGTCAGACTGAAATGGCCCTGTTCTCTGGATGTCTGTTGGTTTTTTTTTTTTTTTTTTTTTTTGGAGAGGTTTTTGGTTTTTTGGGTTTTTTTTTCTTTCTATAGGGCGCATGCGCTCGCCAGACAGACAGAGAGAGACAGAGAGACAGAAAGCGAGAAATCACCCCCCAAGGGGGATGGCTATGCCACAATCCGTTCTCCTCTATCCTCCTCTCGGGATCTTGGGCATGCACGCACACGCACCCAGCGTGTTTTAAGCCACTGGGTCCAGGACGCGAACCATGGTTGACTACATGGGAGTCCAGCTAATCACACACAGATAGGTTCCTAGGCCTAGATTCCTAGATAGATTCTCTCCAGCACCCTCTGGCCAGAGTGGCAGATGGTGTGGGGCTGGCACATGATGCAGTGGTCACATTGCGAAAGTGGCCCTGGCTACAGCCACTCGTGATATTCTCTGTGTTGGACCAGTTCCTCCTGGTGAAAGTCCCATGACCCAGACCCAGGAGAGTGAGATGAGAGGCTGCAGGGCTGTAGTGGGCAGTGGAGATGCCCCGTCTAAGGAGGAACCAAGAGGCTAAACAGCACCAGCAAGCTGGTGGGGGTTCTGGGTGACAGGGCACAGCCTGGTGTGTCTTTGTTTCTGGGCCCTGACTGCTCTCCGCACCGAGGACCCCTTGCCAGGTTATAATCTCATTAAGACAGCATAATTTAGGTAGTGCCCAACACAGAGAGTCTGAGTGCCAAAGGGGCTCTAAAAAATAGCAGTGTAAGTGCAGCAGCAAGAGGAGAAGGGAGGCACAGGGTTCCTGGAGGGTCTCCATGCGTGGAAGTGTGGCCTCATTTGGAAACTGTGGCCTTGTGCTCGGTATGG